CCTAAATTCTTCGTGCTGAAATGACTGCTGCAACGGCCCATCACCCAACTGTCAAAACATATATTTATATGTTGTTGTAACTATATGTAGGCTAGCTAAAATATTTTATTTGTATATCCTCATTGGTGGTGCACCTTTGTGCACATCCTTGGATTGTGTCCATATGTACTTGCCCTGCAACAGAGAACATCATCCATTCTTGTTTCTCCTTCTCGTGCTCTTGTCACTCACATTCCTAGCTAATCGACCTCCTAAGTCCTAAGTTCAGTTACGATTCCAGCATGGTATTAAAAACCCCTCGTTCCTAAAGGCCTCCCTCACCCCACCCCCCCATGGGCCCACGCATTCACGCTTCTCTCATGGCGCACGTCACGGCCCCCCGTCATGACCGTAGTTACGACGGTCGCTGCCGTAAAAAGGTCGCAGCGGGGGGCTGGGGTGCACCCCCTCGTAGCCTGCCGTTGTTGCTCCCGTCGCCCGCCTGTCGCGCTGCCCCCCCCTGTCGCATCACCTTCTGTAGTCGTGCCTGCACGTGGCTCTGTGTGTGTGTGTGGGGGGGGGTGGAGTTGGTGGTAATGGCGCTACACCCTCGCGCCGTCACTTGCGCCCATCGTGCAGCCCGCCATCGCACGCCTTCGCGCACAGCAATGAGCCAGCGCGCACGCTAGGAGCTGTCGCCGGCGCGTACGCCATGAGCTGCCGCCAGCGCGCATGCCATGAGCGGCCGTCAGTGCGCACACCAACAGCGTACGGTAGCGCACACACCAGTGGGCAGGGTGGCGCGAGGGGTTGGTTGCCGTGAGGAGGCTGCACCGCCCCCCCCTCCCCCCGACTTCTCCCTCTCCTTGGTGCGCCTGCAGCAGGAGGGGTGGAAGGGTGTAGGGGTGGCAGGTATGACCAGGCAGCCACCCCTCCACCTCTCCACTCTCTTATCTCGACCTACCAGCCTTACTGCTGTAGAGGGGGGGGGGGGGGGGGGGGGGGGGGGGAGGTTGAGGGGGTGGCGGGAACGAATCACCAGCTGGCGCCTTTTCTCCGCCTTTCTCCTTTTCCTCCTCATTGCTCCTCCTTTTCTTCCCTCCCCTCTCTGTTTCCAGCCACCTCCCCCTCCGTTTGCTTTATCCATATTCCAGTTGTCTCCGCCGTTGTGAGGGGGGAGGTTTTGGGGAGGGGGGGGAAGGTTGGAGAGGTTGGAGGGGGTGGCCGCCGTGTAGCCAGCGCCATTCGCCAGTGAGCACGTTGCTCCAGTCGTCCGTGAGTCAGTTGATCTAGCCGTACGAGCGGGATGCTCCAGGCGTACGAGCCGGATACTCCAGTGTCCGTGAGCCAGTGCTCCAGTAGCATGTGCGTCTGCTGTTGCAGCCGCCTCCCACCTCTTTCTCTCTCTCTCTCTCTCTCTCTCTCTCTCTCTCTCTCTCTCTCTCTCTCTCTCTCTCTCTCTCTAAAGGTCCGTGTATTGATATATCAAAGGGATACAAGCATGTAGGGTATAGATGCTAGAGATGAGAACAAGCAAACAAAGAAACAAAGAAACAAACTACTATCTATCCACCAATAACTGCCTATCTACACCTCCATGAGAGGCTCTAGTACTGCACAACTGTCCCCAAGGTGGAACTCTCCCTGTACCCCCCCCACAGGGGGATTTTCCGCTACTGCCGCCTGGCTGGACTTAATAAGGTAACCTACTGACTTCGCTCTTTGCATAGCACAGGACCACCGCTGCCTGAAGAGATGGAGGAACCGGGCTGCATGGAATGAGTGTGGTTGGGCGTTGAAGTGTCGCCTAGCAGCTGTTTCCGCCAAGAGCTTCAAGAATTGTGGGACCTCGGCACACGGGCACCCGTATGTCTCAACTGCCAAGGGGAAGAAGGTAACGGTGTCGGGGCGGCTGGCGTAATGGCTGATTTTCTTATCGGCCTGCTCCCTTGCCGCCCATCCCCTCCCCTTTCTGGCGAGTGGGTCCCTGTTGCTGATCGGGTCCGTGATGGTGACATCACAGATGTACACCGCGCCCGAGCTCCTATCACGCAGTGTCAGGTCTGCAGTTTGCTCTTCAACTGGGCAGAAGGCTGCGGATTCTCCGTGGACTATGAAGCCGGCGTCCTCTGCCATCGAGATGCAAGCATCACGGAGTTCATTGTGAGTATTGATCTTGTGCTTGCCTGCCCCGCAGCGGAAAAGGTGATTCGGCAGCCTTGGGTCAGTGATCTCTACCTGCTTAGAGTAATCACACTTCGCGGGTGTAGAGAAAGGGATGCCTAGCCTGAAGCGAACTGCATTTGCGAAGTGCGGTGGGCCTACATGGCGGGTCGGCTCTATTGGGATAGCGGTTAGCCAGGCCCCCGTGCCGTAGCCTGTCAGGGAGAAAAACCGTTGGGTGTGGCCTGACAGTGGGTTGAGACTCATGTGTCTTGTAGCCTGCACTTGCGTGGCGTATCTGCTCCCCTGCACTCTCACTCCGAGCTCGTGTTGCAGCTTCAGCCCCTTTGGCTCTAGCTTCTCCATGTCGAGTACGTCTCTAGCTTCCTGTGGCAGCGACGTCTCGCACTCTGCTAGCCACTGGTGTAAGGCGGTTGTGGTATCTCTAGGTAGGAGCATGTGATCTCGAACCGCTATCAGGGCCTCCTCCGTTTCTAGCGGTAAGGAGCTTAGGAAGAGGCTAGACTGTGTAAAACTAGCCAGGTAGCCGAAACGGCCTTCTACCGTAGGGTCTGTTAGTCCAATACCGCCTAGTGACGGTGGGAGTGAAGACTGTTCCCAAATCCGACTCTGTTCTGTGCTGTCCGTCGGGAAACGGATGCCACAAGCTGTGAGGAGCGTGGCCAGGAGGTCCCTACCCCACTGGGACCAGGTGTCGTGGTTAAGGAGATGCAGCGGGGTCGTTCGTGTGAGGTATCCTACACGGCGAGAGATGCAGCGTGTGAGGATGAGGGATGCTATCTGCGGGTCTAGTCGCTCAATCAGAGGCAGCGGCCTTGTCATCTCTTGTAGCTGGTCGGCTAGGAAGGCGGCGGCGCCATCGGGTGTGCCTAGAAAACTGCCTAGAAGTTTAACGCCCGCTTCACTTGTCGGGACCCCCGGCGGCAGCTGTACTGAACTATCTAGCGGCTGTCTGCTCCATGCGGCACATTTCTCAGGGTTGTGCCGCAAACCCACCTGAGCCAGCTGACTGGTGAAATGGGAGAATGCTGCGACAGCATCCTGCGGGTCGCCCAAAAAGCTCACGTCATCGGTGTATGCCAGGCATAGCACGCCGGGGTATAGTGTTGCTGTTGCTCTTAATGCAGGGTGAATCCTGCCGCAAAAAGGAGCGGTCCTAAGGGATCTCCCTGCCGGACCCCACGTTCGCTGAGTATAGGCGGGCTGTTGAAGTTCGCATCCAGGTACAGTAAGGATGGGTCGCCGTAAGTCAGTTTCACTAACGGCAGTAGTGGTGATATGGCCGGGTCCTGTAATGCTGTGACTATGGCTTGTCGTGAGATACTGTTGAAGGCGTTGGAGATGTCAGTTTGCAGGATGAGGCAGTTGGGGTGATTGTCAGTGTATGCACGTGCTCTGTGGATGATTGCCTCCGCCCCCCCTGGCACAGCTACACCGTACTGCAGCGGAAGAAAATAGCCGCGCGCCGCCTCGCCGAGAGTTGTCAGTGCGGCCTTTGCCGCTAGGCGAGTCAGGCATTCCCCAATTGCTATTGGCCGAGCCCCTCCTTCTGGCTTGGCCAGGGCAATCAGGCGGGAGGATGTGAGTAAATCCGCGACTGGTTGCGGCAGTTTTCCTTTCAGAATCGTATTCACCAAGGCGTGTAGATGGGTGGAGACAGATGCATTTGTTACTGACGCGTCGCGTAGGTGTTCAAATGTCATTCCCCTCGGGCCGGCCCCCAATCCATTCTCGCATCGGCTGAGCAATTTCGAAAATTATGCGTATGCGATCTCGAGGTCAGGTTGGTTGGCGTTGACTGGCCAGTCCAAGGGGTCAGGGTCGACCGGTGGGTGCTTGCGTCGGAGTTTGTCCAGGATTTCTGGACTGGGCGTGCAGACCGGCGTTGACTCGAGCGCCACCACGGCTCGGCGCAGGCTCCCTTTTTTCGCCAGGCCATCCGCTCTGCTGATGGTTCCCATGTCGTCAGGCTGGTGACGTGGCGGGGGTGGTGTGTTGACTGCTTCCACCGCGTCCATGTACAGCTGTTGCCATTCGCCGCGTTGAAATGCTCGGAGGCGGGCTTTGATTTTGGGCCAATCAGGGCGCCTTGGCGAAGCTTGTCGCAGTGTGAGGCGAGGGATAAATAGGAGTAACTTCCATCCCGCGATTGAGTCAGGAGTTCGCGAGAGGTGCAGAAGTGGTGTCAGGACCACGAGCGAGAATATCTCGCACAGATTTGGCGGTAGCCGTCGTAACAGCATGGGTTGGCGACTATCGCTGAGATGTGTAATGTCCCATTCTGCCACTTCGGCAAATTTGTCAGCCTGCCTCGTGAGTTCCTCTGGCGAAAAATAGCGGGGGTTTTGAGGCTGGCAAGCCGCCCTCGCCTGACCCCTTGCGGCCCGATGTCCACGTCCGCGGCCCGTAGCACGAGTAGAAGGCGGGGTTGGAATCGTGGCCGTTCGATTGGCATCCTGTGGCCCCCGTGTGTTTCCTGATTGAACTGTCGTTCCTCTCTGGCTTCCTCCACTTCCTCTCGTCAAGTGCTCTCTCTCCTCCTTATTTTTCTTCCCGCTGCTGCTGCTCGGTGCTTGTGCCTCCTCCCTATAAGAGGGGTCGTTCCGCTCTTCCGGATCATCATTCTCGTCTAGTCGTGTTAAAGCCCTTCGTGCCGCCGCCTGGAACGCATTCTCCGGTCCGCCTTCTACTCTCCGCCCTTCCCGGCGTCCTGCTCCTTGCCTCCTCCCGCCTCGCGATGGTGATTGCTGGCGACCCGTGGCTCGCCAAAGCCCGCTGCCGCTGTGTCAACGGCGAGCGAAAAGTCGCCGTTGGTGTCTGCCCCCGGGAGTGCTGCAATGAAGCCGCCGGTCCCCCCTGCCCTGAAGCCAGTGCCCTCTGTCGCTGGGGTCCCTGCGAGTCCGAGTCCGGACCTCGTGTCTCGCGAGGTTCCGTCGTCCCTCCTGCCTGCCCCGTCTGCACCTGTTGCTGAGCCGGGCCCTCCTGCGCCCTCTGCTCCTACTCTGCCGGCTGTCCCTATGAATCCTGCGGCCCCGCCTGCCGTTGCCGGTCCTGTTGTTGCGCCGCCCGTGCCTGAGCTCCCTGCGGCATCGCCCGCCGTTGTTGCCCCTGTTGCACTCGACGCGGCTGTTGATTCGTCTCCGCTGGCGGCGTCCGCCACCACTGGCGGCCTGTCTCCGTTGGCTGCGCCCTCGGCGGCGGGCCAGGCTGCGCCTGTTGTGATGCCGATGGCCTCGGCGGGCCAGCCGCCGCACCCCCCGTCGCCTGACCGCCGCCTATCTCGCCCCCATTCCCCCGCGGTCCACCAGGAGCGCGAGTCGTCACGGCGCCGGCGCGATTCTCCGCGGCGCTACCATCAGCAGGCGCACTGGCCTGCTCACCCCGGCGGTCATGGGGGCTGGAGGGGTCCCCGCGGGCGCGGTGGTGGCGGGGCATACCGCCCGCCTGTGACAATGGCGGATCTTCAGCGGGAGGTGTCGAGGGCAGTGCGCGTGGAGAGGGAGGCGCAGAGCCAGAGCAGTTCGCTGCGGGCCGCGCCAGCGCAGGTGGCTCCTCGTCAGGCTGTGCCTCCCGTGGATTTTCCGCCAGCAGCTGCACCTCCTCCGCCTGTCCTTGCTCCATCGGCTCCCGCTCCTGCTGCCTCGGCTGCTGCTCCTGGGTCTCGTCTTCGCCTGCCGCCCGTTCCACCAGTGGCGGGTGTGGAGTTCGTGGCTGCTGGCGGAGGTTCGGCAGACGCGCAGTACGCTCCGTTTCTTGATGCTGATGAGCCGTATTCATTCTTGGCGGTGGCACTTCAGCCCCCGCAGACCCGTGTTCCCGAGGCGACACTAGGCCAGCTGCACCGACTTGCGGAGAGCCTTCACGCGCTGCTGCTGATTCAGGTGGTGGCTCACTCGTCCCTCCCTGCGATACCTGCTGAATCGTTTCGTGACCGGCCACGCGAGACTTGCTTGGACGCGGCGGACCAGCTCGCACAGCTGCTGGCGCCCGCGTTGGCTGCGCCCGCAGAGGGTGGCGCTGCGGCTGTGGGACAGCTTGACGAGGCTGTCCGGGGCTTAAGGCGACACTTGCGCGCTGGATCTGGAGCCGCGGCGATCAGCGCACGTACGCTGGTGGTCCGTGAGCTGTGGCGGACGTTGACGGGCATTCTCCATGCCCTCGGAGCTCACCGGATGTAGATCCGGGCTCCGCTTGCCCCGTTGTTGCCATTGCTGCTTAGGCTGTGGTTGATGCTGCCATTGCTTGTATGCCGTTGCCTATAGTCACTCGTATGTGTGTTCCCTTGCCGTCCCCTCACGCGCGGCCGAAGGCCGCGCTGTCGAGCGTCGGCCGCCGAAGGCGGCCTGCGCGAGCCACTCGGTTAGGAGAGAAAACGAACCAGGAACTGAATAATGAGGCTCTAGGACTAGATCCTAGGGCCTTTATACTAGGCTGGAGAGGGCTGGAGAGGCTAAGGACTAGGCCTCTCTCTCTCTCTCTCTCTCTCTCTCTCTCTCTCTCTCTCTCTCTCTCTCTCTCTCTCTCTCTCTCTCTCTCTCTCTCTCTCTCTCAAGCAGTCGTGTATTGATAGGGTTCATAAGGTACAGGCCTGGCAAAGCGGTGGCACCTAAACAGTCTAGGCAAACCATGCAGGCAAGCAAGCAAGCAAGCAAGCAAACCAGCCAACAAACAAACAAACAAACAAACAAACAAACAAACAAACTAGCTGGTAGCTATGCTAGTAGGCAGAGCGAGAACAGATAGGACCCCTTGCCCAACCAAACCAGGCCCCCAGAGAGACCCCCTCAGATCCCAGCATCCCCCCGCCTTGTGGCCGCCCCCTGTGTCCTCACCCCATCCCTCCCCCACTCCTTGCCGTCCCTAATACTGCCTCCTCCCACGCCACCCCCTCCAGCTCCTCCCCCTCTCTACCGCTCCCCATCTGGTCGCCTCCCTGCCTCCTCCCCCCCCCGGCTGTCTAAGGTGCCCCAGCAGGAGCATCCCGCTCCTCATACTTGTCAGACGTCATCTGCCAGAGGTCTGCCAGGCGTGGGGCCCAAGGGTCTGCTGCCGCCTGTGGGAAAGCCGCCTCTGCCGCCCGGTTGGACTTGGAGAGGAGGGAGATGGCCAGGCTACGCTGTAGCATCACCGACCATCTCTGGCGGTAGTGGGCCGTGAGCCTGGCTGCCGTGGTGGTGAGTCTCCCTTGCCGGAATTTCTTCCGTGCTGCGTGGGTGGCCAACATCCGAAGGAACTGTACGGTGTCGGCTGCCATCGCCCCATAGGTCTCCACTGCAAGCCCAAAAAACCCTGCATAGCTCGGCCGTCCCTCGTACAGCCGGTGCTTCTTCTGAGAAGCTTCCTCTGCCGCCCACCCCGGCAGCCTACGTGCCCTCACATCCCTCTCCTGCAGCACCGGATCCGTCACAGTGACATCTGTCACCCATGTCTCTCCCGATTCCTGGTCCTGGATCACTAGGTCTGCCCTCTTCCTTAGGACTGGTGGCGAGAAGGCCGAGGTTTCATGGAGGGTATTGTAGCCGGCCTCCTTCGCCATGCGTAGCGCTGCGTACACGAGGGCGTTGTGAGTCCGGACCGCATCCCCCCCGTCCTGGCAGCGCAGCAGATGGTTCGGTAAGCTCTTATCCAAGATATTGGACCCCTGCCGCTTGCATGGGCACACCTCAGCTACTGACAGTTCCATGCCTAGGCGGAGGCCTAGGGCCAAGGAGAACTGACCAGGGGAGATTGTAAGGTCAGCTCTCGTTGGCACTGCATGAAGCCAGTCGCCCGCCCCCACCCCTTTCAGGCTAATCAGCCTTATCCCGTGTTTGAATATGAGAATGAATGATTAACAATGAACAAAACAGGAAAGATATATGCAAGGCTAACCCCAACCCTAGCACAACGGAATACACCTAGACTAGAACTAACATAACTATAGAAATATAGTTTGACACACCCCCATAGTCTAGGTGACGGTAGGCCTGTGGAGAGCAATACACAACCCAAGAGCAAGGGTCACAAGACCAGTTCACAAGAACAAAGCAACTCTCGGGGTGGATCTCAAGATCACCACACATTCCGAGAACAAGCAAGGGGCCACAAGGCCAGTCCACATGCAAGTATATAGCAGATGTATGAGATGCAAGAGTACAAACATGCATGACAAGCATCTCTACAGAAGGAAAGGGCCACAAGGCCTGTCAACAAGCACAGATATAGGATATATACTGAGATGCAAGAGTACAAGACAATTTATCTCTACACAAGCAAGTGAGGGCCTGTAGACACAAGGCCTAGCTGGGTGCAGAAGCGCTGGTGGGCACAAGGCGGCAACGCCTTGGTGAAGATATCTGTAGTGTTGGCCTCAGAGACCACACGTACCACGCGGGCCTGGCCACGCTGCTGAAACTCGCGCAGAAGGAAGTAACGAAGCTGGATGTGCTTCGCCTTCCCAACCAGTCGGAGCTACTCGCACAACAGGACAGCAGACCTGTTGTCGGCAAACAAGACTGGGGGAGAGCGAGGCCGCTCACCAAGGTCGGTGAGGAGGAAAGACAGCCAGCGAAGCTCCTGGGCGGCCATGGCCGCAGCGTACACCTCTGCCTCACAGCTGGAACTAGAGACGGACGACGCCCGAGTCGACCTCCACGAAACAGCTCCGGTCCCAAGACTGAAGCAGTAACTTTGTGTAGACCGTAGCGACTCTGCGTCGTCGGCCCACGACGAGTCCGAGTAACCTGTAAGTGTAACTGGCTGCTTCCCTCCAAGGACAAGTCCCATGCCTGATGTACTTGCCACATACTTCGCCACCCTCTTAGCAGCGTACCAGTGGGAAGGTCGGTGTCTCCCAAGCGCAACAAAGCGCGCAAGGACGCTAAGAGGGTAAGCTAGGTCTGGGCGAGTACAGGTCATCAGGTACATGAGACAACCCACCAGCTCAGGATATGGACCGCTGGACTCAAATGGCTCGTCCGAAGGTGGAGCCGTGAGCCCATGATCCACAGCAAGAGGGGTGGGCTGTACCTTGGAGAACGGGAAGCGAAACCGCGTGAGGATCTGCTCGACCATATGCGATTGCGTGAGCGTAATGGTGCGAGCTGCCCTGTCCCTGGTGATCTGCAGGCCAAGGTAGCGCTGCAGCTCTCCAAGGTCAGTGCAAGTGTGTCTCCTCTGCAGTTCCTCCTTCACGGAGGCCAGTGCGCGTCGGTCGGGAGTGGCGAAGACCAGGTCGTCAACGTAGACCAGAACAAAGAACGGGGTCGAGCCACGGCGGACGAACAGCGACGGGTCGGCAGAGGATGGAAAGAAGTCAAGCGCTGCAAGAGTCGTACGTAGCGTGTCGTGCCACTTGCGGGGAGCCTGGCGCAGGCCGTAGACCGGTCGACGCAGCTGCCACTGGGTCCCAGGAGGGAAAGAGCCAGTGAAGCCAGGCGGACGACGCAGCCAGATCTGCTCGTGCAGGCTCCCCTGAAGGAACGTAGTGGAGAAGTCTAAGGAGTGCAACTCGTAGTCGCGCTGTGCTGCAATATGCAGCAACACCCGAAGAGTGGTCATCTTCGGGGTGGGAGCGAAGGTCTGAAAGAAGTCTACCCCCTCTCGCTGACTGAAGCCTCTCGCCACGTATCGCGCCTTGAACACGGGTGGTGCTCCAGGCAGTCGCTTCACCTTGTAGAGCCACATGCCACTGACAACGTTCGCCCCAGGTGGTGGGACGGCGTCGACGTAGGTGTTTGTGGACCTATAAGATGCCATCTCTGCCTCCTCAGCTGCTATCCAGTACGAAGCCCAGGGTCCCGAGACCGCCTCAGCGTGATTGCGAGGGATCGGGATGTCAAGGGCGTCTGGATCCCCCTCAGGGGCAAGCAGCATGGCGCAGAGATGAGGAACAGCGGCCGCAAGGAAACCAAGCTCGAACTGCCTGTCCTCGAGGACCTCAAGGGGAAAAACTGGAGCACCCCCAGAGACCGGAGAACGAGCAGGTCCACTGACCAAGTGAGCGGCGTAGTCAAGGCGGTGGGAAGAGGCAAAGCCAGAGAAAGTGGTAACAAGTGCTGAGACAGACGACAGAGGTGCAGTCGGGTGAGTGACCAACGCGGACAAAACACGGGAGACGACAGGACGGGAGGCACGGAGGTAGTCGGACAACGGGTCGTGAAGCACAGTGAGGGACGACTCAGGGGGCTGTGGAAGGACAGGAGGAGGTGGAACACGAGAGCGGAGAACAAGGTGAAACGGACCGTCTGCACGGTAACGGGACCAACGGGGCTGTGGAGACACAGCACGACTGAGGGGAGGACGACGAGTCCACTGGGACGAGGAAAGGGACTCAACAGGGGGAACAGGAGGGGACGGTAGGGGACCACGAACAAAGCGTGCAGGTGCTGGGTCGGGGAGGTCGCGTAGTCGCAGTCGCTGCTGCTCCGCCTCCTCTGGCGACTGCTGCTGCGGCACCTGCCCCCCCTGCTGCTCCTGTGGCTCCTCCTCTACTCTGTCCTGCTGTGGCTGCAACAACACCTGCTGCTGCGGCCAGGACTCCTGCTCTACCCTCTCCTGCTGTGGCTGCAACTGCACCTGCTGCGGCAGTCGTGACTCCTCCTCTACTCTCGCCTAACACTCTGACGGAGACTGCTGCTGCTGCTGCTGGTGGTGCTGCTGCTGCTGCTGCCGTGACTCCTCCTCTACCCTCTCCTGACGCTCCGACTGAGACTGCTGCTGCTGATGTTGCTGCTGCTGCCGTGACTCCTCCTCTACTCTCTCCTGACGCTCCGACTGAGACTACTGCTGCTACTGCTGCTGCCGTGACTCCTCCTCTACCCTCTCCTGACGCTCCGACAGAGACTGCTGCTGCTGCTGCTGCTGCTGCCGTGACTCCTCCTCTACTCTCTCCTGACACTCCGACTGAGACTGCTGCTGCTGCTGCTGCTGCTGCTGCTGCTGCTACTGCCGTGACTCCTCCTCTACTCTCTCCTGACGCTCCGACTGAGACTGCTGCTGCTGCTGCTGCTGCTGCCGTGACCTCTCAAACCGCGCCCGCTCCTCCCTCTCCAACCTGTCTAAACGCTGCACTCGGGTCAGGAAATGTACAGTGCGCGGCGTAGGCGTCGCAGTGCTCGTGTGTCAGGCTCCAGCACCCCCAGAACCAGAACCTCCACCGACAACACCCCCAGGGACTCCAGTGCCTCCTACAGGAACACCCCCAGGCTCCGCAGCGACCGGCCGCGGAGGCGAACGAGGAGGGAACTGCGGAACAGACGGGAAGCCAGGTGGTGAGGCGGGGCAAGGCCGCTGAGTCGAGACAGCCGTGTCCTCCTCAGGAGCGGTCTCCACTCTCACACCCCCTGCACCCCCAGAGCTGGCACGACGGGCTCCAGCAGCCCCAGTACCCTCACCCTCCGCAACTGCACCTCCAGCACCCCCAGACACGACAGGGACTGGACGCTGTGGGGGGGAAGACTGCGGAGTGACGTGCGACACACCTGACGGGGCAGGACGCAAAGGGGGTGGGACTACCGGGGCGACTGGGGGGGGCTCAAGGGTGAGGAACAGCGGGGGGGAAAAGACCTCAGTACCTAGGTGGTGGCGACTCCTGTAGTAACTGACCGACTCGTCGAAAGTGACGTCCTGAGAGGCAAAGAACTGGTAGGTGACTGGGTCGTAGAACACCCAGCCTGAGGCGTCGAGTGGGAAGCCAAGAAAGATGCAGGCACGGGTGCGCGCAGACAACTTGTTCGCGCCAAGGGCGCGAACGTGAGCCAGACAACCCCAGACGCGGTAGTCAGCTGCTGCGCCCGGAAAACCTGTCCAAAGGAAGATCGGCGTCACCCGTGGCCGTGCGTCACTAGGCCACAGGTTCAGCTGGTGCGCGGCGTAGCGGACTGCCTGAGGCCACAAGAGCTGGGGGGCACCGGCATGGCACATGGAGGTCCGGGCAACCTCCATGACCAGGCCGATGCGTCGCTCGGCTACCCCATTCTGCTGCGGCGAGTCAGGTAGCGTGTAAGACTGGATGATCCCCCGACCCTGACAGAACGTCTCTAGGCGAGTGGAAGAAAACTCACCACCACGGTCCGAGTGTAGGCGGAGCCCACACATGCCCTGGACGCCACCCCTCGCTAGTAGCCACGGCTCAAGGACGGTAGGCACGTCAGCCTTCCGTCTCAAGGGGAAAACCGTGGTGTAGCGGGAGTAGTCGTCCACCACAATCAGGAAGTAGCGCTCCTGACGTGGGCCACGGACCGGGGAGGGGCCCCAGACGTCCAAGTGCAGGGTCTGTAAGGGAGCCGTGGTGGGGGGGAACGAGGAGGAGTGAGGGGCAGCGCGCTGCCGACCCTCGACGCAGGGAGTGCACGACGGCGCAGGCGAGCGAGGAAGCGGGGCAAGCGACTCTGGGAGACCTGAGACCAGACGGTGACGTACCATCCTACTGAGACGTGGGAACGACGGGTGACCGAGACGGTGGTGCCAGAGGACCGACGGGTGGGTGAGTGACCGACAGTCGCACGACACAGCAGCTACCTGACCTGACCTGACCTGACCTGACCTGACCTGACCTGACCTGACCTGACCTGACCCAGTGTGGTGGGACCCAGTGTGTAGTGAGTACAGACCAGAGCCCGGCTCCCTGTGGAAAGTGGCTAGAGGCGCCCCAGTGGCACCGACTGTGCAGGAGGCAACAGGGTCGTGCAGTGGGAAAGTGGTGACAACTCCGAGGTCGTGGAGGTGACTGACACCCACCAGGTTCCTAGAGAACGAGGGGGTGTAGTAACCTGTGAGAAACCCAGAGGGAGCCGCTGGACACGGGAGAGTGGTGGTGCTCTCGGCAACTACAGATCCTACGGAGGGGTCAGCCAAGGCGACAGTGACTGGAGTGTGCAGTGGCGTGAGGTCGGTGCACTCGCGAAAGAAACAGCTGGACGCTCCAGAGTCTAGGGTGAAAGAAAGCCGTGCAGTCGGTAAGGTCGCACCCAAGCCAGCGACAAAGGCTGGTACTAGTCTAGTGGTGGCTGCAGCTCCCACACTAAGAACCTCTGAGGCGCCTGGACCGGAAACTACACACGCACCAAGACTGGAAACACAAGGATCAATAGCAGTTGCAGCTCCCACGTACCGGTGTGTGTACTGGCCGGGTCCGTCAGGGCCCCGCTGTGGAGGTTGCTGCAGGCGCTGCAGCTGAACCCGCCACTGCTGCAGTTGCGGCCACCTGTGCTGCTGCCGCTGCCACTGCTGCTGCTGAGACCACTGCTGTCGCTGCGGCTGTTGCCACATCGACATGGCACGCTAGTACGGGGGTAGGGGTCAGTCGAGGCGGCAGTACTAATGGTTGGTTGGCCTAGGCTGATGCTGGCGCGACTGAAAGTGGCCTAAGCTGCTGCTGGTGATACTGGTGGAAGTCTAGGCTGCTGCTAGTGCGTTGGCGGCAGTGGAAGCTGCCGCTGGTGCTACTGGTGGCAGCCTATACTGCTGATGGTAGTCTAGTGCGGTGGGGAATGGTTAGGTGGGGTTGAGAGCGGTAGGGAACGGTGTTGGACGGTCAGGTCGTGCTAGGAGTGGCCTGGTGCGGTGGAATGCTGTTGAGTGCGGTTCTGGTGCTTGTGGGATGGGGTCAGTGCGGTCGGATGCGCTTGGGAGCGATGGAGGGCAGTTCAGTGCGGTTGGGAGCGGTGAAGAACGGTCTAGGGCGGTGGGGGAAAACGGGTGGGCTGTCAACGGGCGTAACGAGCGCACGGGCGGTTGCTGTTGTTGCTAGCAGTTGCAGGTGCTAGCTAGAGCGGTGACGGGCGGTTGAGACAGGTTGAGTGAGGTGGGGAGCGGTATCTCGCAGTTGGGAGTAGTTGAATGCGGTGAAGGGCGGTTTCTCACGGCTGGGAGTTGTCTAGTGCGGTTGAGAGGCGGTTTAGGGTAAGTGTGGGCGGGCGGGACGGGCGGCAGCGGGCGGCAACGGGCGGCAGCGGGCGGCAACGGGCGGCTAAGGGGTGGGGCGGTCGTACGTTGTGGCCGCGAGGCCAGCTAGGCGCAGGCCACGGGGCCGTCGAGCAAGGGCCTTGGGGCCCGCTACTGAAGGCCGCGGGGCCTGCTAACACGTGGGCCGCGGGGCCTGCGTTCTAAGGTCGCGAGCGAGAGAAAAATAAAGCGGACGGGGAGGGGGGGGGGGGGGGGGGGGGTCGAACGGGTGACGGCGGTCGTACGTTCGGCCGCGGGCCAGCTAAGCGCAGGCCACGGGGCCGTCGAGCAAAGGCCGCAAGGCCCGCTACTGAAGGCCGCGGGGCCTGCTAAAGCGTGGGCCGCGGGGCCTGCATTCTACGGTCGCGCTCGAGAAAAAACGGACGGGAGGGGGGGGGGGGGGTCGAACGGGCGACGGCGGGAACGCGACGGGCTATGGGCGACGGGCGACGGTTGACGTGCGACGAACGACGGGTGACGCGCTACGAGGCACGCGCTATGACGAGGCGCGCGTTAGTACGAGGCGCGCGGGTGGTGGGCCCATGACTATCGAGTGAAATTTCGCCTAGGAAAAATCGCCTAGGGAGAAATCGCCTAGGGGAAAAATCGCCTAGGGGGAACCTAGCTCCATACCATGTTTGAATAGGAGAATGAATGATTAACAATGAACAAAACAGGAAAGATATATGCAAGGCTAACCCCAACCCTAGCACAACGGAATACACCTAGACTAGAACTAACATAACTATAGAAATATAGTTTGACATCCCGTGCCCCCTGTGCCTGCCCGGTCTGTCCACCACGGTGTCGCCTAGGAGATCTGCCGCCCGCTGCAGATTGATCTGCTTCGAGAGGCCCAGCTGCAGACTGCCCGTGCCCGTGCTGTCCGTCCTAAAATGGGCAAGGATTGCCTGTGCCTGGGCTGGGAGGCCCTCTTCCAGGGCCGACAGCGGGTTGAAATCTGGGGGGGGAGGGGACCAGTCGTGGGCCAGCAGCGTGATGGCCCTGTGCAGCAAACACTCTGGGGGAAGGCCTAGCTGCTGCAGGAGGGAGTGCGCCGCTGTCACCGATGCAATGTGGGCGGCTGGTGCCTCCGATATGGGGTCAATGATCCCCAGCCCGCCTAGCCGAATGGGCAAAGTCGCCTGGCGCCACAGGAGACTCTGCTCCAGTTCCTGTATCGGAATGTTCAGCTTCGCCGCCACGAGTGCCGTGCCCACTAACGCCTCACTCCACCCCCTCCACTCCTCCATCCCCAAGGCTGTCGCCGGTGTCGTCCGCAGTAGGTAGGAGATGCGGCGGGAGATGCTGCGTGAGAGAATCAGCAGGGCCGCCTGAGGGTGTAGCTGGCCGACTAGGCGGAATGGAGACGCTGCCTCCTCTAGTGATGCTCTCACACGGCTAGTGCAGAAGTCCGCCGTGCCAATGGGGCTACCCAGGACCTGTATGCCTCCCGGGTCTGCTGTTAAACCGGCAGGAAGCCCCGTCTGTCCCCCCCCCCGTATGGCACACCACGCCGACGACTTGGAGAAATTGCAACGCAGACCACAGTCTGCTAGGTCGCTGGCGATCTTCGTGAAAGCTCGGCATGCCGCTTCCCTCGGACCGACGATGGTGATGTCGTCCGCGTAGGCGACAACGGCGACTTCCGGCATCATTGCCGAAATGCCCAAAAGCGCCGGCTGGATTGCTACCGCGAACAAAAGGGGGCCTAAGGGGTCTCCCTGTCGGACGCCCCGCGAGCTCAGGACGTGATCAACGCCGAGGCGTGCATCTGTGAGTAGGCGTGACGGCCCATCGTAGAGGTTTCGGACGAGAGGGATCAAGGGGCTGAGGTTCGACCACTGTAGCGACCCTAGGAAAGCCCGCCGCTCGACACTGTTGAAGGCGTTCTCTACATCTAGCTGAAGGGCGATACGCGTCTCATCCTCCCGTAAAAGCGATCGGACAGTGTGGATGACGCATTCCGCTCCCCCAGGCACCGCTACTCCGAATTGTACTGGGAGAAGGAACTCCCTAATCTTAGGCGCCAATGCATGGAGCGCTGCCTTTGCTACGATGCGCAGAATGGCCTCCCCGATAGCTATCGGCCGAACCCCGCCATTAGGTTTCTCGAGTGCAATCAGGCGGCAAGGCAGGAGTAGGTCTCGCACGTTCTGTGCTTGGAAACTGCTAAGGAGCCGATTGACCACGTTGGCGAAAAGTAGCAGCACTTCCTCGTTGGCGAGGGCAGGATCCCTCAGGTGCTCGAAACAAGTCCCAGAAGGCCCCGCCCCAACCCCGTTCGGACATTTCACCAAAATTTCGCGAAGGATGTCCGGCTGGACGGAGAGGTCCGAGGTTGTGATTCCGGTTACCCAACTCGGAATTCGCGTACCCGCCGCAGGGTGCTTCGCTTGTAGTGCCTCGAGTGTTGCTGGGGTTGGCTCTGCTAGAGGGCTAGTTCGTAAAGCCGCGACAGCTTTCGAAATGTTGCCCTTCTTCATTAAACCCTCCGCCCGTGCACAAACCCCTTCATCATCTCCCTGGTGTCGTATCGGACCTCCTGTGTCGGGGATGACCCCGGCTTCCTCGAAAAGGTCAACCCACTCGCCCTTCTGAAATTTGTGAAGGCGCGCCTCGATGTGCGTCCAGCGGCTCCCAGTAACAGGTTCGGGGGCGGGCCTGAGCGTGAGCCTCGGTAGGAATTGAAGCACCAACCAGCCACCTGGGCAGCTCGGGTTCTTGTCCAGGCGATGAAGTGCGGCTAGCATGCACAGAGTGTATCTGTCCAGAATCTGGGGTGGTAAGCGGCGGACCAGGAAAGGCTGTTCCCCCTTCTGAAGGATGTCCATATTCCACGCCCCCGCAGCCAGCCAGATGGCGTCATCGCCAGCCAGATCGGCAGGGGATGGCACATCAGTGTCCTCCGTGGCTGGCTCTTCTCCACCCCCTGGATTTTCTTGGATATTTCCCCCTGTCGCTGCCCCCCCTCGGCGCTGTGTGGCTCTCCTGCCAGGTTCCTGCTCCTCGTCCAAGGAGATTTCCTCAGACTCCTCCTCCTCACCACCCATAAACTCTGGGTCATCCCTGCAGTTGCCAGATGCCTCTCGCTCCTCATTCGCTCCGGCCTCCTGTATTTCCGGCCTATCGTGGCGTTCCCGCCAAGGTCCAGTCCGTACAGGCACATCAGATCTAGCGACCGGATTGCGCCTTCCCCGTCCCCCCCGCAGTCCTCCACGCAGACCTCCGCGCACTCCCCTTCCAGCGCCGCCAGCGATTCCCGCCGCCACATTGCCTGCCCCTCGCCCCACCGGCATCCACGGTGTTCGTCCGCCACGTGGCGGGCCCCAGGTGATAGGCCCCTGCCTTGTCGAGCGCCTAGTGCCAGTCTGCAGGGGTGCGATCTCCTCTGCTGCGGCCGCCACCTCTGTCGCTGGTGGTGCGGCGCCGTCGACCGTGCCAGGCTCCGCAGGCGGCGGGATCGTTGGCACGATCACTTCGTCGGCGGCGATCTGTTGTGACGGCCCGGCCTGCGATGACGACGGACGCGTTGGCGCTTGTGGCGACTGCCCTTGCAGCAGCCAGCCCAGGAGGGGTCCCGGGGGACCAGGTCCCAGCCCTGCTCCGGGCCGCCTCGCTGCTGGCTGGGCGCGCGGCTTCTTCCCCTTCTTCCCGCGGGCGACGGGAGCGGCGACGTTCTTCCCGCGGTCCTGTCTACCGCCCCCCGCCTGGCCGTGCTCCTGCGTGCCTACGCCCTCGTCCGTAGCAGACGTTCCGTCGGACGCAACGGCCGCCGTCACTTCCACTCCGCCCGCCTCCCTATCCCGTCTCCTCGCCGCGGCGGTCACAACCGCAGCGATCTCAACCGTAGCCATCGGTGCCGGGGATTCCGCCAGTCCCACCTCCCCCGACTGTCCCTGCTCCGCGACCGGCCCCCGCCCCTCAGCAAGCCGCGATGCGGTCCGGGGGGTGGCAGAGGGTGAAGATGAGCCGCCGTGAGCGGCAGCGGCAGTCCCGCCCGCCCGGCCCAGGTCCACCCCACATCCCACCGTCATCTCAACAGCCGTGGCGACCTCAGTCGCACCCCCACCAGCCGCCGCCTCAGGCGCCGCGGCCGCCACCGCAGCCTCAGCCTCAGCCCCCGCAGCCCCCGCCCTCTCACCGCCGTTGCAGCCCCAGCAACCGTCACCCCCTGCGTCACTCGTCCCTCCGTATGTTCCTCCCCGTAACCCCCCCCTTCCTCAGGCTGGTCCGTCCGCGGGCGCATTCCCTCGCCTCTTCGTTGGTGGGCGCGAGGTGCCGATACCGTGGGGGCAGTGGACTCCTCCAGCGCCGCCACCTGCCCCTGGTGTGGTTCCTGACGCGCCATGGAGTCCGACGGGCGAGGGCTCCCCTGATGGCGTCGCAGCGCACGCAATGAACGTGGGGACGTGCTTGACCATGCTGTCGTACCTCCTCGACCAGCTCCACCTGTGCCTGGAGCGTCAAGGGCTTGAGATCCAGGGTCTGCTGCCCACGGAGCTGGAGGTGGCAGAGGCTGCAGCGGTGGAGTTGCAGCAGTTCCTCCCCCTGATTGGGTACTGGCCTGGCTCCCCTGGTGCTGCCCTCGGGCCCGGCCCCCTGGCTTTGCTGGAGCTTGCCGAGAGTGCCCGGGTGGCACCACTCAGCCTCGTGTCAGCAGCAGCATCCGTCCTGCGCTGGATGGACGGGCGACTATGCTGGATCCTCTCCGAGTAGCCGTTGTCTTTCCCTTGCCGGCCACCTTGGTTTTGGGCTGGCCCTTGGGCTTCCCCATGGCGTTGAAGTTCACCCTGGGGGTGTTGTTGCTGTTGTGTGATGTCACCCTTGCATGTTGTAAGCCTCTCTATTATAAAGGTTGCCGTCCCTCTTTCCTTGTCACCCCTCACACGCGGCCGAAGGCCGCGCCGGCGCGAGCCGCCGTTTTTGGAGAGCTACCTGAACTCACCAGTGAAGAATGAGGCTAAAGGGAAGGATCCCAGGCCTTTATACTAGGGAATGAGGCTAGAAACAGCTAAGGACTAGGTCCTAGGGCTAAAACTGAGCTGAAACGGCTAAGGACTAGACCGTAGCCATCATCTCTCTCTCTCTCACTCTCTCTCGAGCGAGCCGCCGTTTTTGGAGAGCTACCTGAACTCACCAGTGAAGAATGAGGCTAAAGGGAAGGATCCCATGCCTTTATACTAGGGAATGAGGCTAGAAACAGCTAAGGACTAGGTCCTAGGGCTAAAACTGAGCTGAAACGGCTAAGGACTAGACCGTAACCATCATCTCTCTCTCTCTCTCACTCTCTCTCGAGCGAGCCGCCGTTTTTGGAGAGCTATCTGAACTCGCCAGTGAAGAATCAGGCTAAAGGGAAGGATCCCAGGCCTTTATACTATAGGGAATGAGGCTAGAAACAGCTAAGGACTAGGTCCTAGGGCTAAAACTGAGCTGAAACGGCTAAGGACTAGACCGTAGCCATCATCTCTCTCTCTCTCTCTCTCTCTCTCTCTCTCTCTCTCTCTCTCTCTCTCTCTCTCTCTCTCTCTCTCTCTCTCTCTCTCTCTCTCTCTCTCTCTCTCTCAAGCAGTCCTTCATTGATATTGAAATAAGGTACAGGCATGCAAGGGCAAGACCAAAGCAAGTAGGCTACTCTAGGCCTAGGAGCTAGCGGGTGAGCAGGCAGCGAGCAAACACACACAAGCAAGTAGGCTACTCTCTCTCTCTCTCTCTCTCTCTTTCTCTCTCTCTCTCTCTCTCTCTCTCTCTCTCTCTCTCTCTCTCTCTCTCTCTCTCTCTCTCTCTCTCTCTCAAGCAGTCCTTCATTGATATGTTCATTGGGGTACAGGCATGGCAGAGGCAAGTACAAAACAGGCCTAGTCCAGTTGGTAACCAACATGCTAGATAAGCAAAACCGGAACAAAAACAAGCCTTGGAGAGACATGCTAGCAGACTGGTGGTGTCGGCCTGGTATGGTCATGCCAAGTCTGGAGCTATGGCAAAGCAGGCCAGGAGAGGTGGGCAAGGCCTGGTGGACCACACTTGCAGTTAGCAGGTGGCTATGCCTCTATGTCCTCACTGACCCTCTTACTCACCCATCACCCCATCCAACTCATCCTCCAGGACCTGCCAGAAGTCCCCCAAGCTCGGTTCCCAAGGATCCCTGGCCCCCTGTGTGAAAGCCGCTACATCACCCAAGTTTGACTTGTTTAGGAAGGAGGTGGCCTGTGAGCGTTGGAGCATCACACTAAACCGCTGCCTGTAGTGCGCCGTCAGCTTGGCCGTGGTGGTAGTCAGTTTCCCTTGGCGGAACTTCTTCTTAGCCGCTGATGTGGCCAGCAGGCGCAGGAACTGCTGAGTGTCTGTCGCCAGGGCACCATAGGTTTCTACCGCCAGCCCGAAGAAGCCCACGTAGTCCGGCCTCCCCTCATATAGCCGATGCTTCTTCTTAGAGGCCTCCTTCGCCGCCCATCCCGGCGGATTCCGTGCTAGTGTGTCGCGGCGTTGAAGTACCGGGTCCGTAACTGTAACATCTGTCAGGAAAGTCTCGTTGGACTCTTTATCATGTATAGCTAGGTCCCCTCTCTTCCTGATCACCGGTGGGGAGAATGCTGTGGTTTCGTGGAAGATCGTGAAGTCTGCTTCCTTCGCCATCCGGAGCATGGCGTACACAAGGACATTGTGTGTCCGCACCACATCGTCTCCTTTCCCACAGAGCAACAGATGATTTGCTAGGCTCGTGTCTGTGATCGAGGAGTTCTCCCGCTTGCAGGGGCAGGTCACGGTATCCGGCAATGCCATGCCTAGGCGAAAGCCTAGTGCCAACGAGAACTGACCAGGGGCAAATGTAAGGTCAGTCCTTGCCGGTACGACATGGAGCCAGTCCCTTGCTCCAACCCCCTGCAAGCTTATGAGGCGTACTGCATGGCCACAGTCTGTTCCTGGACAATCCACGATCGTGTCAGCTACGAGCGCTGCCGCCTTTGTTTCGTAGATATGGCGGGACAGTGCAAGCTGTAGATTACCCTGCCCCACCGGCCGCTCCCTGTATGCATGCAGTGCTATTCTGGCTGTGTACGGCAGCTCCGCTTCAAGTGAGGTCAGAGGATTGACAGCTGGTGGGGAAGGGATCCAGCCATGGTCGAGCAGCTGCACCGCCCTGCCTAGCAGGCACCCTTCCGGTAAGTTCAAGTCACGTAACAATTTCTCCGCCGCTGTGATTGAGGCAATGTGGGCCGCTGGTGCCTCTGAGAGGGGGTCAATGATGCCTAGGCCCCCCAGTCTAACTGGCAGAGTGCTCTGACGCCACAGCAGGCTCTGCTCGAGTTCGCTTGTGGGGGTGCGGAGTTTCGCCGCTGCCAACGCCGATGACAGTAGCCCCTCACTCCACAACCTCCATTCACGCCTCTCCATTCTCTCTCTCTCTCTCTCTCTCTCTCTCTCTCTCTCTCTCTCTCTCTCTCTCTCAAGCGGTCATGCATTTATGTTGTTGAAAGGGTACAGGCATGCAGGTGTCGGTTGTAACCAGTAGGCTATCCTAGGCAAGCAACCATATGGGCGGACTAACAAGCAAGCAAGCAAACCAGCAACAAACGGCATATGCATGTCCAGCAAATGTGACCAGAGCTTGAGCTGCCGTGTGCCGCCAGCAGGACCGTTCAGGTTATCCTCTTCCTGCTGTGATGGCTAGCTCTGTTCACCCCGGCCGCCCTTACAACACCCCCCCCCTGCGTCTACACCCCTGCGAGGTCATCATCAAGCACCTGCCAGAGCTCCCCTAGGCTCGGCTCCCAGGGGTCCATAGGTGCTTGGGGGAAGGCCGTTTCAGCTGCCATGTTGCTCTTGTTGAGGAACGAGGTTGCCTGGGAGCGCTGCAGCATGACTGACCAGCGTTGGCGGTAGTGTGCATTGAGGCGGGAGGCTGTGGTAGTGAGTAGCCCCTGCCTAAACTTCTTCCTCGCTGTGGCGACGGCCAACAGCCGAAGGAACTGCACTGTGTCTGTTGCCAGTGCCCCGTAAGTCTCCACTGCAAGGCCAAAAAATCCCACATAGTCGGGCCGGCCTTCGTACAGGCGGTGTTTCTTCTCCAAAGCTTCCCTGGCCGACCACCCAGGTGGCTTACGTACTTGTGGGTCCCGCTTCTGCAACACCGGGTCTGTCACTGTTACATCCGTGACCCAAGTCTTGTCAACGGGAGTAGGGTGTGGCCCCATCCTCGCATGGGCGGAGCCGACCTTGTGGTCGGGTGTACGGGGGAGTGCAGCCGACCTGCAGCAGTGGGCAAGTTGGTCGACGAGGAGGTCGACCTGCACAGTGACCACTGCGACGGGCGCCGACTCCAGGGCGCCTAAGTGTGGGGTGGTCGACCAGGAGGTCGACAAACCTGGTGGTCGACGAAGGAGGGGCCGACGTCGACCTCGACAGGGGAGACTGGGAACGTCGAGCTAGAGGGCGTCGAGGAGCAGGACGCCGAGCAGCTGGACATCGAGCGGAAGGGCGCCGACCTTGGGTGGCCGACGACTTGGCGAAGTTGGTGGCCGGGCCCCGAAGTGGTTGACGAGGGGACGCCGACCAGGGAGGACGCCGACCTGGCAACATCGACCTGGTTGCCCGGTCGACCGGGATACCCGGCCGACCGATTTCTGCGGAAGCATGCGAAGGTCGCCGGGGGTGGTTCTGCGAGGTCGGCCTCGGGAGTGGTACCCCGAGGTCGACGTGGCTAGTAGGCGCGGTCGATGGCGTGGAGTCTGCCAGGCGTCTGCGCTGTGCACGTGACAAGGAAGAGTGCACCAACCAGGTGCACGCACCTGCGAAGCAGGTGCACCGTTGTCCTGCGGGTGCAACGCTGTGCAGCCGACTTGCTGCAGCGCTGGCACACCGTGGACTTGCAATGTTGGCAAGCCGCGACTTTGCTCTACTGGAGCGCGGTCGACCAAGTCGTGCTGGCACGCGGTCGACCGTGCTGCGCTGGAGGTCGACCAACAGCTTTGCTAGGTCTGATGTAGTCTTGCATGCCAATGTTGTTGCTATCATTCTGTACCATTGTTCTAAACTTTTCCTAGTGGAACTCTTGTCAATTCTCCCCGTGAACTAGCAAGTAGTGTGCGCACAAGGAAACGACTAAGGAACGAACGAACGCAGAGATTCCTCCTACCCCGTGCCTAGCCCGTAGTCTAGCTCCCGTTGATAGAGTTATCTCCGCAAGTCTCTGCCGACTCCCTGTCCTGGAACGCTAGATCCGCACACTTGCGAAGGACGGGGGGAGAGAAAACCGACGTCTCATGGAAGGTGTTGAAGCTTGCCTCCCTTGCTAACCTCAGAGCCGTATAGACCAATGCATTGTGTGTCCTCACCACATCCCCCCCCTCA